CTGGGCAAATTCCAGCCCTGGTCAGGTTTCTCTGCAGTTCACGCCTCCACTCACAGCTGCTGCCAGATCTAAGACATGCTGGAGGCTCAGGGTGCATATAAACATAAGCCCAGCACGTACACTCACTATGCAGATGGCCTGGTAGGAAAGCCCTGAGACTACGAAACAGGCTGGGGCCACCATCACATCACACGTGAATGGAGATGAAGCACAGAGCAGGGACCGTCCCTAAGCACCGTGTCGCGGGGACCCCAGGACAGTGTCGCGTGGAGGGAGAAAGAATGTGTTACATCTGCCGGAGAGGGAAATGAAGATCTAAGACACAGATTGGTTTCTATAAAAAATTCCATGGAAACACAAGCTATAAAATTAACAGACAATTGGTTATAGGTGTACAGAAAAAAACTCAATTCTCTTAATATACCTTGATGTTGAAACCATGTAAATAATCTTAGATAACCACAAAAGTAGATTTTAAAAAGAACTCTACAACACGTGCAATGGCACAGAATAATGTCGCATACCTCCCGGCAGGAGGCGCTGGGAACGCAGCGGCACACCCGAGCCAATCCCGGCCTGGGCCTCGTCACGGAGGAACCTCAGACACACCTGCTGGGGGACGTCCTACAGAATGACTGGCACGCCTTCTTCATCAATAGCAACGTCAGGGAACAAGCAGAAAGGCCGAGCTGCTGCCACAGGTTCTGAAAGACTAAGAGGAGCAATGCCTGCACGTACATGTGATCGGGGGCTTTCCTCTGCCGTAAAGGGCGCTCATGGGGGACTAAGAGGAAGGCGGAATGAGGTCTGAGATTAGATGATGGTGTCGTCGAATCAATGTTAATTTCCTGACTTGATAAGTGTCCTGTGTTTAGCTAAGAAAATAGGCTTGCTTTCAGGAAATACACACCAAAAACATTTAGAGCTCAAGGGACATGTCTGCAGAAGACCAAACATTTCAGAAAGTAAAATGCACGGATGGGTGGAAGGAAGGTTGGGGGTGGGTGGACAGAAGGACGGATGGGAAAGAGACAGAGGGACAATGTGGTAAAATGTTAGCCACCCTTAGGGGAATAACCTGGCTGAAAAGTACACAGGTACTCTTTGTACTATTCTTAAAACTTTCCTGTAAGTCTGGAATTGTGTCAAAATAAAAAGTTAAAAGAAAAATAATGACTAAAACAAATGGAACCCGACTGTGCACTGAGGTGGTGACCCAGCCACTGAGACGAGGTCCCTTCCAGGGGACGGAAGGAGCGTGACTAACTGTCCATCCCTGAAGACAGACATCCCTGAAGACCTGGGAGCAGACACAAACCGTGCTACCGTGGGTGGCTTCTCCTGAGACGCTGGTGTCCCCGTGGGGTAAGACCAACGGGGCGCGGCTGGCAGCGCTCGCCAAGAGGCAGGATTCCCAGCATGAAGGAGAGAGACAGAGGAAGTCCGCTGAGGTAGGTAAAGACCTCACGGTCTGCGAGCAGGGACTTGAGATGGGTGGGCACCCATTTCAGAGCAGCATCAGTTCCAGCGGACAAAGGTGGGCACAACCTGGTGCCCACTGAGGGACGGACGGACAGATGCGGTCTGTGTATGCAGGGGACATGAGTCGGCCTTAGCAAGTACGGCCATCCTAACATGCTACTGCACGGATGCACCTTGAGGACACGGTACTCAGCGAAATCAGCCAGTCATAAAAAGACAAATCCTGTATGATGCCACTTACATGAAGTCCTCAGAGTTGTCAAAATCAGAGACACAAAGTGGAATGGTGGGTGCCAGGGGCTGGGCAGGAGGAATGGGGAGCTGTTAAATGGGTGCAGGGCTTCAGTCTGACAGTGAAAAGACCTACAGAGACACAGTGATGGATGGTGGCACAGTATGAGTGTACTTAATACCACTGAACTGTATGCTGAAAAATGGTTTCTGGCGGAAATTTTGTGCATATTTTGTCACAATTTTTTTTTTTTTAAAAAGGAAAAAAAACAAAAACCACATGGTCTTGGATGTGAATTAGAATTATGTGCTGCGCCTGCCCACTGACAGGAACAACCAGCTGCAAGCATGCCGGAATACTTAGCCTCCAAACACCACCTTCCACCGAAAGGAACCAAGGGAAGTAACGGTTAAGCTAGGATAGGGCAGGGGGCGTTGAAGAGGAGCCTGGCATGGCTTGTCACACTGGAAGGGAAGGAAGAGCTCTTGGGTGGCTGGTGCATGTCAAAGGGACTCAGGAGCAAACCTGAAGAGGTTCCCGTGGCCCACGGCCCATGGCCCACGGCAGGTCTGTTTGAGCACCAATGAGATAATGACCACAATCAAATATGTCTGAACCTACGACTCCATGAAAACACCAAAAACCCCACAAAAGCCTAACCCCCTCGTGGCCACTGTGGGAGGAGGCTCCAAGTAAAGAAGCGACTTGTTATTTTGAAAACTGGAAAACAAGGGGAAAAATTCAAGCACGCACTCTGCCCGTCCTGTATGAGCTATCATCCCGCAAAGCACCCACACAGCCGGGTGTTTAGAAATAGGTCAGTTAATAAAGAGGAATGCTAGAAGTCAAAAATGACCATTTTACAACCTCTAAAGAGAGATGGATTGAAGCCATAACGCTGCGGGCAGGGACACAGGAGAGCCGCTGCCGCAGGGAAGCCCACACTGCCACGACCGCCAGGAAAGGGGCCCCCCAGAGGCCCCCCAGCCCCCAGCGCCAGGATAGGGGGCCACGCCAGCAGGTCCTGAGCAGGTCCAGAGAGGAGCGCCCTCCTCCCCTCCGCAGCAGGCCTGGCTTCCTCAACGACCAGGGAGAGAAAGAGGCTGGGGGGGTGCCCCTACCAGGCTCAGCGTCTGGGCCTTGTTCGTGGATTCAGAGAGCGAAGCAAGGGCGAGGCGTTCGGGGAAGTTTGCGTGTGAGCTGATCATCTGGTGATGTTAAAGAAAAACTTGGGTGTTTTTAGTTGTGGTACTTGGACTCAAGATTTTTGTTTGGAAAACACAATGAGCTACCTACTAAAATACTGACAGATGAAATGACAGGACGCTGGCCGGGATTTACCCCAAAAGTGTGGGGCAGGGAGGCACAGCGGAAACCAGCCCACCGTCGCTGAAGCTGAAGGTGGGTGCACAGAGGCACGTTACAGGATTTGTTCTACTTCCGAATCTATTTGAAATTTTCCATAGTTGAAAAAGAATGCCGAATAATTGCCACCCCACCCCATGCCGTCAAAGTCGACCTCTACACCTTCACAACACGAGCTGCCAGGAGTCAAATGAGACGCCCTTTTGGTAAAACCCCGGGGACCCCAAGGATGGGTCCACGCCTGCCGGCACACCACCCCAGAACCAGATGGCCTTTTGCCTCTCTTCAACATGGTTCCAGGCAAGGTGCCCAGTGGGTCTGCACTGCCAGCCCATCTCCGAGAGACACACGCAGCCCACCCACCCCTGCCAGCCGGTAACCCCCTCCCGCATCAGATGCCCTCTCAGACCCCTCCCCTTCCAGGGAGAGCACCCCGCTCTGCTGGCTTCTTGCTCCCCATGAACCTGCCAGCATTTGGCCATGTAACCCACCAAAGGCAATTTCACAAGGCTCTGCTGGCTGGCGCCTCGAGGAAGGTCTACCCGGCTCTGCCACTCGGGCCACCAGTCAGTACTGGCCAAGCACCCTCATTCACACAGAGCTTCTCTGCAGCTCAGGTACTGAGGTCAGAGGTTCCAGGTCGCCAGGACCTGATCAGACGGGCCCACCACCACCAGCAGCCCCAGACAGACTCTTTCCGGCCCTGACCGCCTGAGCAGCCTGTGTCATTCTCAGACTCACAAGGAGACTGGTTACTCCACAGCTCTTTCCTCAGTGCCACTAGGGCCCGGGCCCAGCAAGAGAACGGGGACGGACACACGCCCACCTGCTCACACACAGAGTACACTGCCCACGCACACACAAGTGCCAAGGGGAGCACTGACCAGAAGAGGGGTTGTGAGGGAGACAGAGACACAGGCCTGAGCAGCGGACAGTCGGTGCACAGGAACGCGGGGAGAGCCATGCGCCTCTTTCAGGGGGACCTCCCGCCAGGGCTCAGACCCCCTGCCTTCATTTGCAGACAGGGGTCCACAGGGCTACAGAGCTATGCACCCTGAGCTAGAGCTCAGATGGCACTTAGCACGTGAACAACCAGGGAGTTACCTCCAGTGCATGCGCGTGGGCAAGCGAGGGCAGAGGCTGCCTGCGCACTGGAAGGAAACCCCAGCCGGGCATGACGCCCAGCGGGGCGGTGACCAGCGCCTGGGCAGCAGCCTGTCCAACTCAGACATGACGGCCCAGGCACCGGGGCAAAGCCACTGTTTTCTGCCTGAAGGCTTCCCAGGGGCACAGCTCACTTGGTATGAAAACGCCATGCCCCACAGCAGTGCCGCCAGCCTGGGCACTGGAGCTGCTCTGCCTGCTTACACCCCTTACCAGTCCAGGGGACTTTGCCCGACAGGTAAACCATTAGGTGGGGTCACTTTACTTAGCTCTCTATACGTGAGGGAGGGCATCAGGGTGGTGAAAGATCAGAGGCAATACGTCAAATGAGATCATCTCTGTAAGGACCCGCAGGACCTTCCGGAATGACCCCCGCCGCTCTCACTGCCCCGGGGACCCGACCGCTGGCAGCAGGGAATGGTGCCAATGGCCCAGGTGTCCATGTGGGCGGCCAAGAGAAGAGGTCCCCCACCCTCCATCCTCAACGAAAACTCAACAGACAGAACGTAAAATCTGACCCCTTCAAGAAGCTGTGGTAAGTTCTGAGCTGACCTCTGGAAACCCAACACACCAGACCCGGTGAGGTCACCAGAATGTCCCTCTTCCTTCCTGCAACAGTCTCTACCACCGCAGGCACACGGGGCTGCACCTCTCCCCACAAGTCCAGCGACGGCTGTCCTGCGTCCCCCAGCCCCAACGCTGGCTGCGCTTCTCAAGACAGCGTCCCTCCGCCCTTCTGTCCCCAGCTGGTACTCACGTAAGAAGTGCTTTTCCAATAAGGCTATTTCCAGGTGACCTTTGATCTCATTTAATCGATCAAACTCCGTCCTGTTGAAGTCCTGGACTCCCGCAGCCATGATGAGGGTCCCTGGACCAGCCTGGAAGACAAACACCGAGAGCTCGGAGGGGCCCCTTTGGAGCCTCCTGTGTCCACATCAACTGGTTCTCTAAGAGGTACCCCAAAGACCCCTCGTCTGGAGGGCTGGGTCCACAGAGACCTTGGCAGACAAGGAAGGTGCTGGTGCTACCTTAAAACCTGCGCCAGCTCACCTCAGCTTCACCTGCCAGTAGAAGAGACAGTTCAGACATCCTCAGAGACCCGCTGAGGTGGGTGTTTACAAGCAATGAAGAAAAGCAGAAGCAGAGGTGTGACACCAGGCCTCTGGGAGGCCACAATACGCTCTCCGGCCGCAGCGGGCAGGAAACCACCGAATCCTGCGCTGGCCAGCTTGTTGCACTGCCAGGAGGAGGGCAGGCCCTGGCCCCTCGCTCCGGGCGCTGCAGGGGGCGTTTCTGGGCGAGCCGAGGAGGAGCGCCCGCGTGCCAGGCTCTGTGAATCTGAGAGGACGCCTCCCAGAGGTGAGTGACCTCCAGCAGGGGCTCATCCTACCCTACAGAGGCTATTTAGAACCACGCCGCTGTCCCGGGAAGGCTCCAGTTACAGGGGGCCGCTGCCTGCAGGCGCTCGCCCAGGGGCTCGGCACAGCGGCCGCCCCACCCTGATGGGTGGAGGGAAAGCACCGGGGCTGCCCAGGGTGCACGGAGGGCCGCTCAGCTCACGCCCGGGACACTTCCACAGGCACCCCATGGCCACATCCTGACGCAGCACCCATGTGCCCTGCCACGGCACAGAGGGAGGGGAGAGCCGGCTCCCCAGGCTAGTCTCCAGTGCCCCGCCAGGCTGGGAGAGGAAAGGGGGAATGCGGCCTGGCTGGGTCACCCCTGGAGGACAGCGCTGCTCCGAGGCCACACTCCAGGAGGGCAGAGCCGACACCTGGGAACCAGAGGGTTCCGGTAAGACCCCCCAGCCTGTGACTGCCTGGTCCTCGGCTTTGAATGGCTCTACTGCTAGGAAATGGGTTTCCAGAGGGTGGGGACCAAGCTGTTATCTGCAGCCCCCTGGGGCCCAGCAGGGGTGGACAGAGGAGACAGGGAGTGGGGCAGGAGGCAGGGTGATCCCACCTGTCCTGGGGAAGATGTCACATGCCTGCCCATTCACTCCTGCAAACAAATTTGTCCCTCGATGGCCAAGAGAGCTGAGGCTGGCCTGGAAGAGGGGTTCTGCATGGACTTGGGGCAGAACGCTGGACTCCATTACGTCCGGCAGCTTGCCCACTAAAAGCAAGTGAGACACCCCCCAGCTCAAGGGGCTGCATCTGAGCACAGTATTCCACATCCCCGAAGGTGCACTGCCCTCAGCCTCTGAACTGCTGGAATCAGGTTCATCCGGACCTTGTCCTCGAGCTTCCAGAAACCCTAGGGGGCCTCCAGGTCCAGGGGGGCCTCAGCCAGACTCAGTACCAGAGCCACACAGCGATGAGGGCGGCCTCTGGGCGGACCAGCCAGCGGGGCACCGACGGGGACAGCGGGCCCCAAGGGAGGCACTGGAAACTGGGGCCGTCCAGCGGGCCCCTTCGCAGACTTCCCGAGCTGGGGGCCCGGATGCAGGAGCTGGGCAGGCGAGCCCACTGAACTGCAGTGTCACAGCCACGGAACGACGGAGGTGGGCGGCCTGGCCTCCCCTCCTTCCAGCCCCGCGCAGCCAGCCTCTAACTCGGGGCAGGGCTGGGGTGGTGACTGCTCCCACCTCGCGCTGGCGGAGGTGCCCACCTCTCTGCCCGCGTGCAGGGCACCACCCCCTCTGCCTGGCACTCTAGGTCCTGTCCTCCTCACCCCCTCCCCCACTGGCCTGTCACCGGTGCCTCGGTCCACCGCCCTTGGGTCTCCCTGTCTTCCTCGCCAGTGGCCTCCCCCGGCCACCCCACACTGAGCGGACCATCGCCCCAGCCTGCCCTCCCTCTCCCTGCACACCTGCCCCTCAGGCCCCACCTGCTCGCCCAGGACCAACAGGGTCTGGACTCCAGCCTCGACCGCCGGGACACAGAGACAGCCCACAGGAAGGACAGAAGGACAAAGCCTGACACCCTCAGCAGCATGGCCCGAGGGCACCACACAGGGACACAGCTGCAGGCCCCACCCACAGGGGGACTAGAGGAGCCGATCCCTAGAGACAGAGCAAAGGAAGGGGGGCCGGTGGCTGCGGAGGGGCTGGGGTGTAGCTGCTTGAGGGGATGTTTCTGTTTGGAAAGATGAAGGCCTTCTGGAGACAGACGGCTGCACAGCAACGTGAATGTGCTTATGCCCCTGACCTGTGCACTCAGCAATGTTAAAACGGTCAATTTTATGTGTATTTTGCCACACAAAAAAGAAAATAGAATGAGAAGAATAAAGCCTGAACACAAAGATGCCAAACAAACTAACCACTCAGCGCTACCACTCCAACATCAGGCTGGCAAAACAGAAGAGCTTGGGGACCCTGTGTGGTGGCAAGCGCGTGGGACGTGACCCTCCCAGGGCGGATGCACAGGACGAGGTGCAAGCCTCATAGGAGGGTGACTGGTAACAGCCCCCAGAATGGCAGACCTCAGCCCGGCACACCCACCTGGGGCGACACAGGCCTTGTGGGACGAGAGGCTCATGGCAGAGGCCAGAGGTGCCGATGTCCCTCAGGGAGGAAGCACACACCCTGCAGTGGCATCCCGAGCCCACCCACCCAGCCTGCAGAAAGAGCTCCAAGACTATCAAGAGGGAACACCAGCCACTTGTTTGCACACCCTCTGGCATGCCACACCCTCGGGTTCCCCCGGCCCTGACGGGGTCAGCTGGCCAGACCCTCACAGGGAGCCCTGAGCTATTCTTACAAGTGTGTGCAGGACCTCAGTGGCACTGTAGTCTCATGGGTGGTCCGCAGCCGAGGGAGGATCTGACCCAGTGGAGCTGGCCCTGGAGACCCTCTGTACTGCTGCCCCACTGGCCCTCTATTCCCACAGGAGGGCCATGCTCCAGGCCAAGTCTGGTCTCTACGGAGACACCACCTGTAGCAAGAGGCCTGAGCCTTGCTCAGGTGGACAGACAGATGAACAGGTGGTACAGCGAGCTGGGAGGGCAGTTTAGCTGGGGCTTCTGTGTAGATCCCCTGCACACTCGGCCCAGAGACCACCTTCAAGAATCATGGCCCACTGCCCCGGAGCTGGCACCAGCTGGAACAGGGGAGGCACCACCTTCCATGTGAGACAAGCTCAAGTCGCTCGGCAATATAACCTGCAGCAGGAGACGCCAAGTGTGGCCCTGGCCCAGCCACCACCTCTATGCCCAGCAGGGCAGCCCCCACCCAGCTCTGTAACACTGAGTCACCTGACCTGGCAGCCCAAGGAGCAGCCTGGCCCTTAGGAGGCAGTGCCAGTAAATTATTCATCCCTGCCAGAAGCAAATGTGCAGTCCCTGTTCTATTATAAAGCATTAATAATACAAGAGGCCGGGAAGGCCAGGGCTCACAGGCCACACCTGTAAAGAAAACCTGGCTTGGGCACTCGGAGAGGAAACCAACAGGCCACCAGAAGTGGTGTCCATGCTGGGCTTCAACCACTGGCATGGGCGGCCCTGGGCTTCTTCACTGGCAATGAGGAAGATTCAGGACATCTGTGCCCAAAATGGTGAGCCCAGCAATTGCTCCTAGCACTGCTCTGCCCAGCCTGCCCCGCTTCTCTGATGAGACACAAGCTTTCAGAAGGCAGACCCACTCACACTCCTGGTTCCCACCCAAGTCTCAGTGCCCAGCTGAGAGGATACTTGCTGTCCCAATAAGGAGAGCCCCACCAGCCGGCCTGCAGGCCTGTCTGCACGTGGGCTGCTGAGGGCCCAGCCTGGTGACATGCGCCCAGCACAGCCAGACAGGCCAGCCAGGCGCCCAGGGCAGCGGACCATGGGCCAGGGGCTAGCGGCCTCCAGACAGCACCCTGCCCCATGTCAACACTCCCAGGGGCCAGGCTGGGGCCTCAGCACCACTTCTGCATGAGAAGCTTGCCAACCACCCAGAAAAACAATGACGAAGAAAAAAAATTCAGCTGCTGCTTAAACCTTGGTAAAGCGAAGGCTGTTTTATCCTTGTCTGGGGACAAGCCTCCCCCAAGTGAGGTGGTGGTGGGGGCAGGTGAGACGGGGAACAAGCTCTGTTTGTTTCTGACCAGCCCCAGGGGGACATGGGCTACCCACATCCCCACTCAGCTTGGCCACCTAAGGGTGGGGACAGTGCCGCACCCCAGCCCCAGGCCACGGGATCCGGGTGCAGGCTGAGCAGATGAGCAGAGGACGAGGACACCCCCGTCCCATGCGGGGGCCCGTGCAGTGCACTCACAGGGTCCCTCAGCTCCTCGCTGTCCCGAGGCAAGGTCCGAGGTATCTTCACGGGTATTTCGTCTCCACATTCGGTGTCCGAGGCATTTGGAGACTCCACTAGATCGAGGAAGTCATCTCTCTTGTGACCTCTGAACCTGATTTTGTCCAGCCTCCTTAGCATGTTCAGCACTGAGCCCCTCTGCTTTACCTTAACATGACGGTCGGGGTCCCTGCAAGAGAATGAAGGAGGAGGCCCAGTCACTCACCTGCCGGACCCCCACCTGCATGGAACACCTGCTGGCCTCGAGCACGTGCTCCTCTCACGCCCTCCGACCCCAGACCTGCGCCCTCAAGCAGCACCGTGCCCGCAGGCCGCCGCCTCACACCCACCGGGCTGGTGGACTACCCCCTCCCTGCCGGGAAGGCACACAGCTCCTACCACTGCCGCCCACCAAGGCCAGCCCCCCGGGTACCCCACAGGGCAGAGGAAAGCCAGGTCTCTCAGCAGGGCCTTCCAGCCACAGAGGCGCAGCCAGACACCCCGCAGGGAGGGAGGGGAGGAGGCTGCCCACCCCTCGAAGTCCTCCTAGCAAACCGTCAGGATCACGGTCAAAGTTGCAAGCACGGGCACAGCCCGGGGCAGCAGCACATGCCCAGAAGCCACCAGAATGCTCAGCTCTGGGGCAATCTCAGCAAAGGCCTGGTGTGGGGTCACACTGAGGGGAGGTGCTAATGCTGGCATGGAGGACACGTGTAACGTCAAACATGCATGCACACCCCAGGCCAGAGGTAGGGCGCACACTTTCTGCCCTAATGTGGCCAGTAGAGCCAAGGTGACCCCCCCCACCAGAAACCCCAGGGGGCAGAGTGTGAGTGGCCCTTCCGCACGCCCAGCCTGGGGCTCCGTGGGGCCAATGTGGTCCTGTTCACACAGCACCTTGGCCCAGCTGCAGGTCAGGGACCACCCATAAGCCCCAGTTCCCTGCAGAAGGGAGGGGACTCGGGACACATGGGCTCAGAGCCTGCTCAGCTGCTCGCCTTTCTGAGCCTCAGTCTCCACCCTGAAACGGGACTACTGCTAGCGAGCCACACATCCTGGGAATCCCAGATGACACAAATTGAGCTCCTGGCTCTCAGCCTGGACCCAGTAAACAACATGATATTTCCAAGCAAGGCGGGCAGGAACAGGGGTGGGAGGGATGGAGTCCATCAAGGCGGTTCTAAGGGCTCCGGCTGGGTTATTGCATAGAGAACCACAAAGGCAGGGGAAGTGCTTCCTGTTTTGGATTGCGAAATCTCGGCAGGCGCTGTCTGCAGCCCTGCCTCCCAGGGCCCTCCGCACGGCTGCTCAAGGACAGGACACGCACTAAGGCAGGGCCCACAAGACCCCAGTCAGCATGTCCCGGAACTCACGAGAGGCATGTTAGGGGAGGGCGACAGGAGCCTCTTAGAGCTTGCTTGGAACACCACGAGAGGGCCTGACACAGCCCTGATGCAAAAGCCACAGGACACCGCATACCGGTGCCCTGCAAGCCCGGAGAACAAGCCTGGGGAATGGCAGCGCTGCGGGGAGCTGCGGGGTGGGAGAGGCGGCGTCCCCACTCCCGCGCTGGGTGGGGCCTTGGCTGGCCATCTGGAGAAGCACCTGTGTGTAGGAGCTGTGAACTCCAGGTGGACTAGAAGGCTACGTAAAACTTTTAAAAAATACAAACCAAAGAAAAGAGAACTGAGTGCTTGCTTATCAAGTCAGAAGAGAGGGTAAAGGTCTGAGAGACTGAAAAACAATCACAAAGGCAAGTCCAACCACCAAGAGACAAAAGTAAACTTCCACTTGTAAAAAAAGAAAAATGCAACAGAACAGAGGCTACATGCAGCAAGTGCGGTGTGTGAAGGACTGACATGCTTGTTACACGGCAGCTTGCAGGAGCTGGGAGAATCACAGGCCCTCCGGACACAGGCCAGCAAACACCAGGAGCAAAGAGGAAACTCCCGCTCTTCACGCAAAACCCTCCAACATTACTACAGGGGAACAAAAGCCAGCGGTGCGCAGGAGGCAGCAGCTTGCATCTGGGCAGGTGCCCCTCGAACCCGGTGACCCCCGGAGAATCCCAGCTTGTGGGGGGTGTCTTACTCTGACAGTAGCCTGCAAATCACCCGCCGGCCCCCGGCATGGTGGGCCCAGGACGCTGGGACAGCACGTAGGGACACCCTCCTAGAGTGACAAAGAGTTGCTACCCCACTGTCACCCCTGCAGGCATCAAAAGGGTCAAAGGTTGTGAACAGGACCCCGCACCAGACTTGTAAGGCGCTTGGCAGCTTGTAAACTCTCTCCAAATGTCCTTTGATGCTTTCCTATTGCCTTTTACACAAAGCAATAAAAATAAACTGGGCAGGAGAATGCAGCAATGTAAAACGTGCTTCCTTCCGTCTTCAAAAAGACCCAAGGGATTCCTCTTCATCCGGCATCAGACGGGAGCGGGGCGGAGGGGGCTCAGGACCTCCGGGCAGACAGCACCTGGCTGACTTTCCCCAGGAAAAGCGCTCAAGTGCCCCTCTCATTGCAGCCAAGACTTTGCTCCATGCAGGGCTCTGGCGCGGCGGTCTCGCTCTCTGGGATTCTCCCCATCCAGAGGCTCGGGGCCACCTTACGTGCCAGTTCAGCTCCAGCAAGCAAATGAGAAGGCTGCACGAGGGGACAAAGAGCCGAGTGTCTGGCCCTGCCACCATCAGGATGCAACACGCATCCCAGCCCCAGCCCTGCGCCTGCACAGTCAGCCACCCAGTGGGCCGCGATCTCCCGGATGCCAGCTCACCCCATTCCTGGGCTCCTCCTGCTGGCTACTCATGTGGGCCTCGGCGAGGGAGGCCAAGCACACAGCCCCCTCCCCACCCAAGGGGCATCCAGAGGACCTGCTCCTGTCCCCATGGCCCTGGGCCCCCCAGACTCCTTGGGCTCCTCAAAAGGACAAATGGTTAATGCTGCGGTCAGATCAGGACCAGAAGCCACAACACCCCACCCACTCTCCCTGGGGATGGGTCCAGGCTGTGAGCACAGCCCTCTGTGCTGCCCCCTTCCCTAGGCTGAGGTGCGGCCTGCCCTGCCCTGCCCTGCCCCAGAATGATCTCATCTCTACATCTGTAAAGTCCCCATTTTCAAGCAAGGCCACGCTCACAGGTCCGGGTGGACATGAATTTGGGGACGACACCATTCAACCCAGTATACCCCCGACTTTCAGAAGAAAGTGGGAGACTGATGTGGACTTGTCCATGGACAGGGAGCAGAGGCCCAGATCTTGGCCACCAAGCATGACCCAGAGGGAAGCTTGCCACAAAGCCAATGTCAGCTGGGTGCCATCTTGACAAATCGTACCTGCAGCAGTTTCTCTGATTGCTGCTGTTATGTGCCCCCCACTTAGCCCTCCCTTTATCCAACCAGCCCCCGACTCCCTGCAGCCCATCCCTCACTCCCCGACCTCCTCAGACGCCCTCCCCAGAAGTGGCCCCTCCACATGCACCCAGAGGCTCACCCTGGGCAGCTCCTGCAGCCCCACCTCTGAAGGGGGCGCAGCGCCCGGAGCCCTCGGAGGAGACGACCTCTCTGTTCCTCCACGAGGCAGCAGAGCTCTGAGAGACGCTCCCCGCTGCAGGCACCCCAGACCCCTGCTCAGAGCCAGGGCACACTGTGCAAGGGACCAGAGGGCAGCGGGGCGGGCGCCAGAGGCTGAGTGGGGCCCTGTGCACACAAAGCTCCCTGCTCCCCACTGAACGGCCTCCGGACACACAAAGCAGCAGCATCTAGGGAGCACTGGGCTTGGAGCCCACAAAGGACTTCACTTCCTTGTCAGCCCAAGCCTGAGAGCGAAGGAGAGTGGTTCCTGGCCTCCTGGGTCTGTCCCAGCCACTCTCCCTGGTGTCCGGTGCATGCCACTGCCCAGCTGAGCGCCCGGCTGGGGCCTGCCTTCACCTCCTGCCTGTCTGGTGGCTCTCCTGCTGACCCCACGATGAACAGTGTCCACATTCCCACTGAAAGCAACCCTCATCCTAAACCATACTCCTGGGAACTCGGCACCTTCCCCCACCCCACACTGGTCCCAGCCAACCACCTGGCCCTGTGCCAGGCCTCTGTCCTCTGGGAAGATGGTCCCAAACCTCGTGGTGGGAGCCTGGGCAGTGCCGTGGATTCCAAGGCTTTGCAGGAGGGAGAGAAGGGCCAGGGAGGAGGTGCCAAGCAAGGCCCCCACGTGCATGCAGCTCCCGCCCTGGCCCTCAAGGGCCTGCACAGGGGACCCCCTGTGAGCAGCGTGGATGCCCGAGACCCAGAAGGCACACGTGCCCACCGACCCTGTCCCCCACCCCATGCCCAAGATGTCGGCTCACACCCCACGATCACAGGTTCTCCCGAACTCGAGGCTCGTCTGGGAGCAATCTCCCGTGCCCCGCAGTCCTGCCCGGGGCCGCCGGGCTTGGCACAGTAAGTGGGACCCCAGTGCTCCTGGCGTGGATGCACGGAGGTCCTGCCGTTTCTCTGCCCCGTGCGCTGCCCTGCCTCCAGGAGCTCCACCCCAGCTCACCCACTGCCTGCTGGAGTCTCACCAGTAGCCGGGCTCTCGGCACACAGCCCCCCTTGACGACAACCACGTCCACCAGCTGCGCAGGCACAACCCTCGAAGGACCCTCGATCACAGGATCACTCCACAACCACCTACAGCGAGCGCGGCCCCTCACCCCAGACTGGCACCCACATCTGTCCCCTTCCCCACCCTCCTGCCCAGCCTGGCCCAGGTGGCCACAGAGCCTCAAGGAGCCCCATCTCCACATGGCAGAACCAGGCCCTGTCACTGGGGCTTCCCCTGCCACCCCCACTGGGCTCCAGCCCTGCTGGGCCCCTCGGGGATCCACTGGCCACAGGTGCCCCTACTGTGGGGCGCAGCCTTCTGGTTCTGGGATGTCTCCACCCTGCAAGTACCCCCAACCCCGCCCATCATCCCGGTGGTCGGGTGCAGTCCTGGAACACCTGGTTTACTCCCCCGTTCAGGATGTACCCCCAGCCCCACTCGGGTAGCACCCAGGCCCTGAGGCTGGGGCGGGCACAGCTCCCCAGGAGATGCTCCACTGTAGGTGCGGGGTCTACTGCGGCTGGGCTGGCCGGGTGGAGTGGCACAAACCCTCGACCAACAGTGGAGGACTCCTGCGCCCGGGCAGGGACGCGCTCACAGGGATCTGAGTGCGG